GGCCTGCCTCCCCGGCCGAGCCGCCGGTCGCGCCTTCCCCGCCCGCTGCCAAGTACCGGTGGCGGTGACGAGAAAATACGGCATTTTACAGGTTTGTGGCTAGTTATTGTCGCGGTTATCTTTTCAGCATTGGTTGTAATGCGAGCGGTGAACTCCTTGGGGTTTCTTTCTAGAGCCAGTGAATTACTTGTTTCTTCTGTGATTTTTAAACTGGGGTGGTTTTCTAGCTTTTTAGCTTGGGCTTCCTTTGAAGGGTCTAAGTTTCCTATGGGGTTGCCAAAAGCTGCAGTGACTTTATTGAAATAATGAACATGCATTGCAGTGTTTTGTTTGGGATGCTAAGCTATTTTTCCCTCCAACTATTAAGACTTGGCAATCCGTCTAGAAAGAGACAAAGATCCTTGGCTTTTTCATTTCCACGGTATTGTTCCCTGCCCACATTACATCAGTCACAAGATGAACTATACTGTATTTTGTTTTATCTGATCGTGTTGGAAATACTACAAAAAGGGTCATTATAACTATCAGGACAAAAGGGAGGTTTTTCCTCTGAACACTGTCCTAAATTTCTGAATATGCGTTAGTATGGTTTCCCAGCAAACAGTGACAAAATTATATTCTGGCAGAAGTCTCTGGAGAAAATTTGGAATTCTGGTGGAAAGCATGTGTTTTGGTGGGAAGTCAGCCGGTTTTGGCTTCTAGGGATTTCCTATAATGTCTAGATTGAGAGGTCTGTTTTAGTGCTCTGAAGTGTGTTGTCCGTACAGAAGATGTTGTCTTCGCTCTTTACATGTGTAATGGTCACTTTTTGTTGTTGATTTTTTGGGGTATCTTACGAAGTTATTCTGCTTTTTCATGACTTGCTCTGCTTCATGTATGCATATATAGAAAATATAGAGCTACCGGTCTCTTTTGGCTTTGTCCCTGGTTTGGTAGCAGTGAAGCTCTGTGTGTATGTGAGCATTAGGCATGTGTATGTTTGGGAAGGAAGAATCAACAAAATGCTGTGTTAATGACCAGGAATTTGAATGCATATGGAAATAATTATTAGTAAGCAAATGAAGATGAACATATGTTGACAACCCTCCCTTCCCCGAGTATGAATGTAATAATTGACAAAAACTTTGTTTTTATGACAAATTAGTTTTCCACTTAGCAACTGGGTTAGGATGTTTTCCATTTGTACCGCTTGATCTGAGTTGTACTTGGTGATGGTGAATTTTCCATACGTATAAGTCGTCTTGAAAGTCCAACCTAATGTAGCATGTTTTGTCCTGTGCAAATAGGAGAAGAGTCTCTCTTATTTGAAGCATTCATGGTCGTCTGGGAAAAGGAATAGGCAAAATGGTCAAGGTGATATATTGTATTTATTCCTTTTCTGCGTGGTCTCCAGAGCAGGTGACGCATGAAGTCTATACAAGCTTATCAAATGAAATATGGTATTGACATTTAAGTATTTTTTTTTTCCAACTTTCAAGCTTCTCAATGGATTCCTTGTTTTCTGACCAATATGCTGCAGGTATATTAGAGTGAGTCACAGGGAGAGGTGCTTGAATAACTTGTGAAAAAGTGAAAACTATATGTGTGCTTGACGAAGTAGTATTTCCTTTGAGTAAACCAGAGAAATAAGCTTATGCATTAATAAAAGGGAATTAGGATATTTAAGTGAGGAAATCTTCGCTAATATCAGCCAGTTGATTAGAGTACAGCTATGTTTTGCTGTCTTTTACCTTTTTTTCCTTTCCCTGAAGTCTCCTACACATAACAGGACGTGAATGTCTACCAGACCTGCAATCACAGGCTGGTGTAAATGATGGAATAAGAAGCATCAACAGTGAGATTAATGATTCTATGTAACTTCTGAACTTAATTTCACCTTGCAAGTCTCCTGTAAGACTCCTAGTATTCCAGTTCCATTTCTGGTCAAAGAGGTCTGAACCCTTACCAGTCGTTTTCAGTCTTCGTGCTCAGGTGAGCTTTGAGCAATAGGAGTAAAACTGGAGGTGTGTATTAGCAAACTCAAGAAGTCGGTATGTACAGCCAGCATTTTACAGTTAATACACGTTTGGCAGTTTTTCTTAAAAGATGTAAGGTCTTGAAAATTGAATTCACACTTATAGATTAAAAGTGAAATGATGAAGACATCTTAGGCTTATCCTTTCAGCAAGGGGGTATTTACATGGGAAACACAGGTGAGACAAATGCATGCTACGTTAGACATAGCATTTAATTGTGGTAATGCTAAGCAAGCAAATATTTATCTCTTTTAATACATTAAGTGAAATTTCAGTTTAATATTTTGTTAAAAGTTTCACCAAATGGGTTCAAAATGGGCTCTCTGTTGCTTTTTTAAAGCTTAAATAAAGTGGTGCTGGAAATGACCTCAAGAATTCTGGTCTACTCCTCTCAGCCCCAGGAAGGATAAATTGTACTTACAGATTTATTAGCAGATGTTTGTCTAATCTGTTTGCTTAATCTGTTTTTTAAGATACAGTCTTAGGAGATGTGGTGAGCTGACATAACTCATTATTGCTGAGGGTTAAAGTCCTGACATTGGGCATGTATTATTAGTACTTCCTTTGTGCCATCTCTGATGCATGTCAGGTGTTTGCTGATTCAGTTCACTAAACCATCAGAAAACTAATACAAGCAGGAAACTGGGTAGCTGGTTGCCATCTCTTTGAATAAAATAGGCTTGGTGAAGTTTGTCAGAACTGATTTAAAGGAGGCTTTTGAAACCTATAAAAGCCTCAGATAATAGAAATTACGCAATCTCACTAGGCAACTTAACTGTTGTTAATAGTGCTTAACTGTTATTGTCATGAGGGTTCTTTCCTAATACTGAATTTAGATCTTCCTTGTGGCGATTTACACCTGTTACTATCCCCAGTAAATGTAGAGAAAAACTTATTCCTTTTTTCTTTGCAGTTTTCTTTTATGTATGAATTATTTCCCTG